ATGAAATGACCCACCTTTGGACATGTCCAGGCTCCATGTGGATTGGATGTTGAAATTGCTGAACAGATCATTATATTTCAACATACACCGAATTAATATAGGTAGATATAAGTCAACATACAGCTATCTGAAAAAACAGCTGAGCCAAAAATACAAACCAAGATATAGAAGTCAATATTCTTTCCTCTACATTTGTAGCTTTTGTCATAATTTAGCACTTAACTTATTTCATTTTGCCTTGGGCTAAAACTAAGGGACTTATCCCAAGGCAGGCACTATCTTAATAATCTTTTTGGTCTTCCCATGCCTACCCCTAGAAAACAGTTCTGCTCAACAAATTTTAAATTGACCATTAAAATGGTTACATTAATGATAGCAACTAAGATAACATAAGTGCGAGGTTTATCATTTTCAAAAATGATAAATGATTCTTCTGGGATTTTTTTTTTTTTTTTACATATTCTACCTTATTCCATCCTTGCAACAAGTTTGTATCATGCCACTCTTATTATCTCAAATATAAACATATAGAAGCAGAGGATCAGAAGCAGTAAGATATATTTGTCTACTTTTAAAACCTTTACATCTTTTCACCACATCACATGCCTAATTTTTTTTAATGTTCGGAATACACATATATATGTGTGTGTGTGTGTGTGTGTGTGTGTGTGTGTGTACACGTATATGTGCAAAGGTTTTCTTTTCTCAAACTTAGAAAATCAATACTAGTCAGCAATTTGTTCTCTTGCAGAGAACAATTATAAGCAAAAAAGGTTCTGAAAAATTAGTATCAGAGAGCATCTAATATCATGCTTAAAAGGGAATAAAAAGTAGGTATTTTAGAGTGGACTTATTTTTCTAATGTTAGTAAAGTAAATAAAAAGTAAAAAGAAGATGCCAGACTCCCAAATCCTGAAGATAAAAAAAGTTAGAAAGTTGGAGAAATAAAGTGTTAGAAAAATGAGTGTAGAGAAATGTGGGCATGGGGAAGTACAATCTGGTTCAACATTTGTAGAGAACAATGTGGCAGTATATAAAGTCTGAAAACTGCAGGCTGTTAAGAATGTTCCTTGTGGCACTGTCTATAATAACTGAAAAACAAGAAGCATCAGAATATTGCACAATCATGCTCTTATCAACACAGAAAGAATGCCATCTTATCTTATTAAATGGAAATACTGATTGAGGACATTATAATCTCCTTCTGTATTTTGTTCTAAAAAACATGTCTATCAATGTCAAAACTATTCAACAATTTTTGCTTTCAGATGCTATATTAGTTATCTATTGCTGTGCAACAAGTTATCTCCAAATTTAGCATCTTAAATAACTTTTGTATCTGACATGGTTTCTGAGGGTTGGGAATCTGGACATGTCTCGTTTGGGTGCTTCTGGCTCAGGTTCTCAAGTCTAGTTGTTGACTGTCCTGGTCCCCAGTATCTCTAAGACTGAAATGGGGTTGGAGGAGACACTTCCATGCTCATTTACATACCTTTTGGCAAGACAGTTTAGTTCTTTGGCACATGGGCTGCTCATGACATGGCTTCCCCCAGAGTGAGGGAGAGACAGTGACAGAAACTAAGACAGAAGCCACAGTGTCTTTATAATGCAATCTCAGAAAACATTTCATTTCTTCTGCTGCATTCTACTGGTTACACCAACCAGCCCTGGCACAATGTATATAAAAGGATGAGACTAGCAGGAAGCAGGGATCCTTGAAGACAACTTTGGATTCTATCACAGCCTAACCTCATCTCTTTCCAAGGTCCATGGACATCTCATCTCATTACTGCAGTGATCCAAATTCCAGAGTCCCATCATCTAAGTCTAGGCTGGGTGCAGATTACATTCCCCAGATGTCGTTCCTTTTGATTTGAAGGCTTATAAGGGGGAGAGATCATCTGTCCCCTACATGACCAACATACAATAGTGGGATAGGACTGGATAACCACTATACACATTCTTGCTCAAAAGGGAAGAAAATGGGAGGAATAAAGGAGTCAGTGATCCATAGAAACTCTGAAATCCAGCTGAGCAAATGTCAAACTTTTTTTTTAATTAAGATTTAGTCCTACTCATGTCCAGGAGTTCTTATTCTTCCATGGCCCTTGGTTCCACCCTCTGGGCTCATGGTTCTTCCCTCTGAGGAATCTTTCCATTATCATGAAAGGGCCACATGTTTGTGACGGAGTAGTTTTCTCAGCCTGCTCCCGGCTTGTAGAAGCTTGATGGCTTAAGGCTCTATTCATCATGTGCTATCTCTGAGCCTTTCAACATAAGCTAAAAAATGTGACTGAAATAATTTTCTTAAAAACTTTATACATCTTCTGTGAATCTTTGGGGGGGGGGGTTAGCCCATTAGACAAAAAAAGTCCACATCCACAAATCTCTTTGAGATGGGCCTTTGGGGCATGGAGAAGGTTAGAGAATGATGCCCTGGAGCATCCTGGAAGCCCTGCAGCTCGACTGAAAAGATCTGTGAGGCACACCCTTAATCTCCTCAGAGGGCCTCTTGCCTGACTGAAGACTCATCTCTGATCTTTCTCAGCTCTGAAAGGATTTTACTCACATCATCAGACCGTGCATTCCTGAGAGTGCTCTGGTATCTTTGTTCCAGAAGCCATTTTCTATGGTACTTTTGGGTAAGAGCACGTCTTCCAAAAAAGATGTATGGAAGCCCTAATCCCCAGGGTCTGTGAATGCCATCTTTTGCAGAACAGGGTCTCTGCATGTGTAGTCAAGTTAAGAGGAGTTCATACTGGAGTAGGGTGAGACTTAGTCCAGTACAATGGACAGGTTTCCTCAAAGGAAGAAAGGAAGGCAGAGATACATAGACTCCAGAATGCCATGAGGGGACAGAAGCAGAGCTTGGAGTGATGAGGAGACAAGCCAAGGGACACCAGCTGCCAGGAGCTACCACCATGGTACTTTGTTACAGCAGCCACAAGAAATGAATACAGTTACCGTATGGAGGACTTGGGAATCCTCAATACCACAGCAAGTCTCAGTTCCTCCATGTTAAGCACTGTTTCCTTGAGCTTCCCTGTCTTTTGGCATTCTAGGGTAAGCCGTCATGAGCAAGCAGGCACTCTCAACACTTCCAGCGGATGGGGTACCTTTTCCACTTTCCCTGTAACTGTAGGCCCCAGTGTTGCTAAAGTTCTGGCCCTCCAGAGCAAGAATCTTCCTTCCTCCAGTTTCCAGTAACATTTATTCACATCCGTGCGAGTCCTCACCCACTGCTTTATCAAAGCCCGGAACACTTCTATGAACAATTTCTTCAAGGCAGTTCAGGCTTCTACTAAAATACTTCTCAGAGCTCACCGCCTGGTTCCAAGGCCACGCCCACATTTTGAGCTTTTGTTACGTCATCACCTACCTTGGGGCGCCCAAATCTGTGTTATGTATCCACTGCTCTTAACATGTTGCCCCTAGATTTCAGAGATGAAAGCAAACACTCATTTTTCACACTGTTTCTGACAGTCAGGAATGCGGAAGCTGCTTAGCAGGGCTTGGAATAGTATGCTTAGATCATGAAGCTTCCTCTTTAGAGAAGGAGACATTACTCCATTTGGAGCTGGTGAATAAAGACTGAACCTAGCCTTATGTTTTCCCCTTTACTGGCTGCTTATATGATACTCTCTTTATGCTAGGTTTTCAGGCTATATCTAAGTATGGATATTTTTTTCTATCAATATTTTGATTTGTTTTTTACAGTAAGGAAAATATTTTTCTCTTATATCTGTGATTATTATTTCTGCTCCTCTTGTTCCAGCATTTTCAGGAATATTTGTTATACATAGATTGGATTTCTATTATTTTCACTCTGTGTCTATCATCATCTCTTGCCATCTCATCTTTATCCTTTTCTTCCACAGTCTTGGAAAGCTAAGTCATTGACTACACTTTATCCATTGTTAACACTGCTCGCTAATGCATTTTTGCCTGTGAGTGTATCCTTCTCTTATTTTGACTGGCTCCATGTTTGACAAGGGCAGGTAGCTCAGAGTCACTAAACCTATGCAGATGGGCCCCCGGTGTCTGGCAGGGCCTCGCCTTGTACCTATACCTGGAGGGTGGACCGATTGGTACAAAACCTGGACCAGCCCCCAGGTTCTCATCAGTCTGGCTCTGTCCCACCAGCAGTGGGTTTTGACCACTTTCTACTCCTAGGGCTCTTCTGCCTCCAGAGCATTTCCTAAGAGAATACCTATCATCCTCATGTGCTATTCATCCTCCTCCCTTCTACTTGCTCTGTGGTTGTACTAGGAGATGTGATCTTAGAATCAGTATAAAAGAGATAAGTTAAAGGGTAAGAGTTGCATGGGGCCCGATTCTGGCCCTCTTAGAAACTAATTCAGAAGAGGGGAAGTGGTCTGTTCTCAGGTTACAGTAGCCATGGACCCCTGAGCCTGGGCAGAGAGCAGGATAAGTAAAACATCTCAGAGTCATTTTGCCTATTCACGCTGGCATTAGAAGATGAGACATATTGCTGGGGAGGGGAATGTTTCCCCAGACCAGCCCCATTGGCACTTGGCAAACTTCCCTCTAGATTTCTATCAATGCTAATATAAGGTTTTATGTTTTTGTAGGGTGTCATGGGTGTTTTAATAGGAAAAAGAGTATCTCAGGCTAATCCAATAGTAATTTTTTTATATGTACCTTTTTCCCCCAGAGAACAAGGTATTCATTATACATATAGACAATGATTTTTCAATTCCAATAAGGGCTAAAATTACTCCACTCTTCTACTCCCACGGCAGCCCAATGCTGGCTTGCGGGCAGAATACTAAAAGACAACACAAAGGGTTCAACAGTAGCATCGGGGCCTAAAGAACAAGCAGGATTGTCATGTCATACAAATGCCCTGTAAGAACTCTAGCCATTTCCAGAAGCTTGTAATTACCCTGATTCATCTGCTACCACATTTAGCAGATCGTTCTCCAGCAAGAATATGCCTTAGACATGTGTCCAGAAGAAAAAACACAATGTATCTTTACCTTATAATAAATTCTGGCCACCAAACTCCGCTGAAGAACTCTTTCACGAAAATTCACTGCTTTCAATAGAAAAGCGAGATTATCAACTGTGTCCATGTTAAATGCCAGGAAGCTGAAGGAGAAACACAGTGACCATTATTATTATTTTGTCCTCACCAAAGGATGCCATGTGAAAAAAACAGACAGGGTTTGTTCTGTCAAAAAGAATTTTCTTCCAGTAGAAGAGCAATGTAAGTATAATTCAGCCCCTCACATCTCTCACTCACTATATTCATGATTCTTTCAGGATTTTTCTGATGAATGCTTGGCTTCAGGTGATCCTGTGTGGTTGTCCTTGTGGTATAAAGATAATTTGGTTTCCTGTTTCTTTCACTTCCTCTTGTATTATAGGTAGTTAATCAATATTTTATATAGTCTTTCTTCATTAAGAGCTATATAATTTCCATCCTTTGGGTTTATGATAGTTTTCTCAACCATTATTCGGCATTTGTTATAATAATGATTACAAATGAACATTGGTAGCCAAATACATCCATCACAAAGTATTTGTCGATGAATAATATTTCTTAAATACATAATGTATCAGGACCTGTACTTATTACTGCTGTGTAATATTCAACAATCTCAGACATTCTATGATGCAGATACCATAATTATTTCAATGTATAGTTTGGGAAACTAGGGCTCAGCAAGTTTCAGCAACCCACTCAAGGTCACATGGACAGAACACGCTCAGGCTCGGGTTTTGTCTCAGGGGATGCCTGTATTTAAGGGAAAAGGAGCGCCAGAGGGCAGTGAGAGGGCTATGGGAGAGTGCAGCATAGCATGTTCTGCAGAGATAATGACTCTCTTCAGTAGGTAGTAATTTCCATCTTTCCCATTTGGCAATGAGGAAACTGAGCCACAGGGGAGTTAAGAGACTTAGGCACAAAGAGACTTAAAACACCTGAGTCTCCCTTAAAGCCCTATGGACTTTTCAATATGTGGCTCTGCCTTTTGTGCTAATTTTGCACCCCTCCAACCCCTCCCACCCTGCCTCATGAAACTTCCATTTAGATAGACAGCAAAGGGGTTAATTCACACTTAGGGTTTCCCATAGCTTAGCCACCTCTTTACCCTCCCCTCACCCCAAATCCTTGGGAAGTAAGTTATCATAAGACCCAAATAACTTAGATGCTCATTAATTAAAATTAAACCCGCAGATAGCAGTTGTTGTTGCTCAGTCAGAAGCCACAAGAGAAACATTAAGAAGCAATTGACACCATGCTTTTGAGAATGCCAAGCACTGAATTTGTAATTGCCCTCCATGTTGACAGGAGGATGGGAGGTCATTTACATGCTAAGTACCAGGAAATTTAAATGATATCAGTATTTATTCTGAATCTGGTCTTTAGAAGGTTGAGCCTCTTTCCTAGTCTATTTAACAAAAAAATGTAAAGAAGTGTCACATTTTATTGAAAAGTATGTTTCAGTCATTCTGGAGACTGTTATCAGGAAGTCTGGAGACTATAAATTTTGTTATTAGAAACTATCTTTTTTTGAATGTTTACCGTTGAATACTGTCCATCTGAGGTTGTGAACTTCATGTGCTACACGAAGTGGATCTCATCCACCCACCCTATCTTGAGTCACATGCCAAGCATGGCCACATCACGTAGCTTTAGGAACTCACCTAGCATAAAAGGCTGTGCAGATTCTCTTAAAAATAGGAATATTGCTAAAGGCAATCTCCTTCTATTTTATAAGAAGGTCAAAACGACTCTAAATTGAAATTAAATTCAAATGCACATCATTAGTCATCGAAGAAATGCAAAAGAAAACCACAGTGAGGCATCATTACATACCCACTAAAATGACTGAAATTAAATATACTGACATCATCAAATGTTGACAAAGATACAGAGTAAACAGAATTCTCACATTTGTTGATGAGGTGTAGAATGGCAAAACCACTTTGGAAAACTTTCCCATAGTTTCTCATAAAACTAAATAAATACATACCCTATGACCCAACAATTCTACACCAACAATTCACCTAAGAGAAATATAAACATATAGTCACAAAAAGGCTTGTATATGAATATTCACAGTAGATCAACTGGGAAGACTAAAACATTGAAAACATCCCAGGTGTCTGTCCATCAATAAAAAAATGGAAAGCAAATCCTAGTAGATCCATAAAATGGAATACTACTCAGCAATAAAAAGGAACAAGCTAATACACATGACAACATGAATGAATCTCAGCAGGCATTATGCCATGTTAATAAGCCAGCTACAAAACAGTGCATAATTTGTGGTTCCACTTATACGAAATTCTAAAACAGGAAAAACTAATCTGTGGTAGAAAAGTATCAGATTATCAGTGAGTGCATCCGGGGTGGTGGTCACAGAAACTGACTGAAAAGGGACATAAGAACACTTTCTGGATGCTGATGACCTATAACTTAACAAGAGTTTGGGTTATACAGGTGCACACACTTGTTAGAATTCGGTGAATGCACACTGAAGGGCTGTGCATTTCATTGCATATAAATTCTACATAAGAAGAAAAAAAAACTACAACCAAATTTCAAACTCTAGTTAATGATGTTCATGCTGAATTATTTAGAAGTATGCTGATGTCTGTTGTTTACTTTGAAATGCATCAGAGAAAAAAAGATGAATTGATGGGTGGGTTGAGGAATTGATGAGTAGATAGGTATGTGATGTAACAAGCACAGTAACAGGTTAATAGTAAAATCTAGATGGTGGGTGTATAAATGTTCACTAAAATTCTTTTAATTTTGCTCCACACTTGAAAATGTTTATAATACAGTATGGCAAAACATTCAAGTATAATACAGAATCTTCACTTCTCTCAACTCCAAGTCCCCTAAGGATCAGTGGGGTGATGAGAGCAGCCAGAGCTCCAGTGGCAGCCCCGTGGCTGAGGGGGAGAGCATCGCTCATCAGGACAAGAAAGGACAAGAGAGGACAAGATGGAGCTGTTTGCAGAATTAGGTACAGTCCTGCTCAGAACCAAGTCCTGCCTCCCTCCCCTAGTTTCATGAAGACTTCTCAGACCATCGCTAATTCCTCCCATAGTCCACGTGAAGGGGTAGCTTCTGGGTGTCCACACAAAGTAACGGCCAACTTGGAGGCATTTCAGAGCCCCAGGAAGTTCTCAGCCCATCTCTCTTCATGCCCCCGCCTGCTCCTGGGTCCTTCTCTCATGAGTGGTCAGTATGACTGCCATCTGAGTGCTCCACTAGACTATAAGCTCCACGGGGGCTGAGAACCCACAGTCACTGCCATGTCACCAATGCCTAGAGAAGTGCCCCGTACACTGAAAACATGTTGGATGAAACAGCTTTCCTCAATATACATAAAAATCAGAGCAAGATTTTGGGACTTAAGTAGAGGAACACAGACAGACTGAATCAGTAAAACCTGGATGTGAGGCGGCGGGGAGAGATGTGTACTGTTTTGGAGGTTAATAACCGAGACAAAAATAAATGGACTGGAACTTTCCAAATATTTACAATTGGAACACTGCCTTTGGCACATCTCAAGTCTATCCCGGAAAATTTGCTAGGAATATAGATTTGCATATGGGTGAGGGTCTGTTTTGCTTTCAGAATGATGGAAGCGAGCCCTGCTCTGCTATCTGGAAAAGAAATGAAAGGACAGATGATTTGCTGCCAGTTTGGGAACAAGTTTCCTGAATGGATGGAACGGATTCTGACGGGAACTGTACTGTTCTTTCTACTCCCTATTATGTTGGAAAATTTTCAAACTAATAAATTGGGGAGAAAGCTAATAGTACTACACAATGCTCATTCAGGGCTAGACGTATTAAAAAGATGTACTGACTTTGTAGAGTGTGTGAGGATAAATTGAGACATTACAACTAATAGAGACTTAAGTGAAACAGTCCTAGAATATGGGAGCTGATGTTTCCAAGCTTTAAGATAGACTACAGTTTGAGGAACCAGAATGGCTCAGTCAGTCAGGCATCTGACTCTTGATTTTAGCTCAGGCTGTGGTCTCAGGGTTGTGAGATCAAGACCTGTGTCCAGCTCCATGCTGGGCATGGAGCCTGCTTAAGATTCTTGCTCTCCTTCTGCCTTTGCCCTTCTCCCGCCTCTAAAAAAAAAAAAAAAAAAAAAAAATAGACTACAGTTTAAATAAACAGGAACCTGGGCAGTAGTAAGAAAAAAAGAAAAAAGGACAGACTACAGATTTCCTAATTTCACTTTATGCCAACAGATATGAAAAGTCCCACACACTACTATTTATTGTGTTCCCCTGTTTTTAATCAAGATTGTAAGATGACATTTCCTAATAAATACTTTCCTTGGAAATTAGTTCCACACATTTTGGTTACAGAGACCAATAATCTGCCTCCAAATAAAATAGCAATTTAAAAAACACACAAAAATTTAAAAGCCACAATAAATTCCTTACAAATGGAATAAAGGAAGCAACATATTTATGAGCATAAATCAATGAAATAGAAAACTAAGGTACCATAGAGGGGATCAACAAAGAGGAAAGCTGGTTGTTGAAAAAAACAAACTAAAAAACAGACAAACTTCCTGTAAGATTAAGCACTAATAAAGAAGACAGAAACTCTAGAAATCAATTTAGGCATGACAAATGGGACATAACTATAGATCTAGCAGAAGTTTAAAAGATAATCAGAGAACAGTATGAAAAACCTTATGCCAATAAATTCAAATCAAAATAATCAGTTCCCAGAAAATATTATTTATGAAAGCCAACACAAGAAGAGAAAGCCTAAATGGTCTTAAAACAATTAAACTACAGTTGACTCCTGAACAGCATGGTGAGGGGGGCGGTGCTGACTCCCATGCAATCAAAAATCTTCATATAACATTTGACTTCCCTACAACTCAACTACAAATAGTCTACTGTTGATTGGAAGCTTTGCCGATAACAAACACAGCCAACACATATTTTGTATGTTGTATGTATTATATACTGTATTCTTAGAGTAGCATAAGCTAGAGAAAAGATTGTGTTATTAAGAAAATCATAAGGGAGAGAAAATACATTTACAGTATTGTCCTGTGTTTATCGAAGGGAGACCACTGTGCTGTTTAAACCCGTGTTGTGCAAGTGAATCAGTAGTTTAAATATTCTCCCAGGCCAAGATAGTTTTCAGATAACTTACCAAATTCTCCCACAAAATAAGAAACTACTCCCAAAATAGCTTTATGAAACTAGTAAAACTTCATATAAATTCAAATCAGGGAACTACAAGAAAGGAAAACAGTAGACCAATAAGTAAACAAAAACGCTAAAACAACACTAGCAAGCCAAACTCAGGAAAATATAAAAATGACAATGCAGCAAAGCAAAATTGAATGCTTTCCAAGCAGGAAAGAGTAGTTTAACGTTAAAAGATTTATGAGGGTTATTTATCACATGAACAAACTAAAGAAGACATATAACATTTCAATAGAAGCAAAAAATCATTTGTAGTAGAATTCATCACCTAGTAATGACAAAAATATGTTTAAAATAACAATAAGTGGAGCTTCTTTAGGAAGTAAAGTGGGTCTATCAAAACCTTCAGAAACATCTTTCTTTCTTTCTTTTTTTTTTTTTGGCAAACATCGTTCTTAATAGTGAAATGTTGAGCTAATTCTTCTTAAAACCAGGACTAAAACAAAAAAATACCTTCTATATGAAAAAGAATAAAAGGGAATAACAAGTGGAAAGAAATAAAAAGTCATTATTTGCAGATGGTATGATTGTCTATGGAAAAAACACACTCAAAGACTCTATAGACACAGAAGGAATTATTTTTTGTGGTCAGGTTTATATATACAAGTCAACTATTTTTATAATAAATGGGCACAAAAGAAACATAATTTTTTAAAAGTATTCCTTTTACAATAATAAAATCAAAAAGTACCTAGAAATTAATCTATCAAAGGATATACTATGTATAGAGAAAATTATAGATTTCTAGAAAATAGAAGATTAAAATCTTTGAGATAAGAATCAGTTTTATATGTATATATGTCAATTTTTCTGCAAATCTATAGATTTAATACTTTGAAAGAAAATTACAGCAGATTTTTAAAAATTGTGGTAAAATATACATAATATAAAATTTTTAACCGTTTTAAAAGGGTGCATTTCAATGACATTAAGTATATTCAAACTGCTGTACAACCCTCACCACCATTCATCTCCAGAACTTTTTCATCTTCCCAAACTGAAATGCTGTCCCCACTAAATAATAACACCCCATTCTCTCCTCCTCCAAGCCCCTGGTAACCATGTTCTACTTCCTGTCTTTATGAATCTGAGTACCCTATATATCTCATAAAACCACAGTCAAAGAATAGTTTCCTTTTGTGTCTGCAGGGCTTCTTTTTGAAAAATTTAACAAACTGATTCCAAAACTTATATGGAAGTGCAAAAGACCCAGAAAAGCCAACACAACTCTGAATTATATTTTAGATATAATAATATAATATAATATAATATAATATAATATAATATAACATAATATAATAATTATAAATCTAGTGTAATTGCAACAGTGTATTGTTGGATTAGGATACACAAATAGGCAAGGAACAAAGAAGTTCCGAAATGGGAATTTACAGTAGTGCCAGAGTGGGCCCCGCATCACTAGTAAAGGACAGTCGATTCAGTAAATGGTGCTGGGACAACTGACAATCCCTAGAGGAGAAAAAAAATGAAATTAGATCTCTTCCTCACACTACAGACAGAAATTTCTACTGGATTCAAGAATTAAATGTGAAAGAGGAAACTTTCAAACTTTAAAAAACATATACTTCAAGATCTGAAAGTAGATAAGATTCAGCAAGTGTGTAGAATAAAATATTGATAAATTCCACAGAAATTTAAGAATTTATGTTAAAAGGCACCATAAAGAAAAAATAAGACAAGGCACAGACTTGTAGAAGGTAGGCGTAGTGTCTGTAACAATAAAGGATTAAAAAAAACCCTAAAAATCAGTAAGAATAAAAGAAAAAGAAAAAGAAAATTTGGGCACAACACGTGGACAGGCATTTCAAATGAGAAGAAATATAAGTGGCAAATAAACTTGTGAAAGCATGCTCAACTTTAAGAGCAATAAGGAAAACACAATTTTAAGTCACAGAGAGAGATCTTTATATATACGTATAGGCATATATAGTATTAACAAAATGAAAACTGATAAAACCATGTGTTGGTGAGGATATGGTTCCACAGGACACGTGCTGCTGGTGAAGGTATACATTTGTACAGTGACTTTGAAAAATAACTTGTTACTATCTAGTACAGTTGAACATTGCCATACTCCCCACACAGCAATCTCACTTCTAGGTAATAATATACAACAGCAACACACTGCAAATCACCAATGGGTCTTAAAATCAGTTTAAAGGATTGAGATCAGTATTTTTTAAAAAACAATTGAAAACTACCAGAGACCATGACGACTAATAGGCTAAGCATTGTTTCATGAGATGTTTGTTTCAGTGGTGTCTGTTGGGTGAGTGTGTGGCGGGGCGGGGGGGGGGCTGCTATGGATGTGTGGGCGTCAGTGGTTGATGTAAAATTTATTTCTTATTCTGAGTCACTGCAACTAAATTTGAAGGCCTGTAGAAACTTAGACATTAGACATATTCCCCAGAGAACGTGCAAGATTTTTCATAAGAGCTTTTTACCAAATATCAAAAATATAATCCAAGTGTCCACTGAAATCAGAGATTAGAATGGATAAGTAAATTGAGGTATATACACATGATGAAATATGATAAACAAAGAGAACAGTTCTTCATCTACCCATATCACAACTTAGATAAATCTTAGAAACAAAGTAGAGTGAAAACAGGAAGCTACAGAATACCACATACATTACTCCTTATTTATTAAGCCTAAAGAAAATTCTAAAACATCAATACAAACAAGCAAAACATGGATCCTGGAGCCAAATTACCTGGGATTAAATCCTAGCTCTGTCGCTTATTAGCACATACCCCCAGGCAAATTTCTTAACCTTTATGCCTCAGTTTTCTCATCTACAAAATGGAAATAATAACCAACCTCATGGAGTTTGGGGGATTAAAACCTCTGATGTGTTTGGAATAGTGAACACACAATAAAGAAGGAATAGCAGTAGAATAAGAACAGAATCAGCAATGTTCTGGTTCTCCAGCTGGGGAGTGGGAGCACAATGCTACCTAGTTGTGGACTGTTTGCATAAACCGAATATTTAAAATTTCAGCAAGAGTGAGTTGTGCTGTGACAAGGCTCCCTGCGCTCAGACCCAGTAATAAGAAACCGAGGGCCAAGGGTGGTCCCGGCCTAAGCAGTTACGTACCTGGTTCTCAGCTTGTCCCTCCCAGACTCCGCCCAGTTTCGGAGGCAGCTGACCAGTGGCTTCTCTTTATGCTGTTTGCTGTACTGAGCCAGCAGTGCCCGCACCACAACCTGGCCAGACAATTGATGATTTGTCAGTCATTTGTCAACAATGTTAAAAAAAAAAAATGCTAGAGTGTCTTGAAATGCTGCAGCCAGTTAAGGGCTAGTTACTTCTAGCAAACTCCTTGGAAAGAATCAAATAGAAACCCCATTCCCCCAGAGGTCTCTGTTTGCCATGGCGAATGGGTGGTGCTTACCCTACCACTGTCAATCCCTCCCCCAAGGCTCACTTGACTAACTAGCTAACTACTTACTGCTCTCTCTCCCGCCTGAGATGTCAGCCTCTAAGGCCAGTCCTGGAACCCAGTATTTTAGCTGACTCTTCAGATAAAACCTACTTGCCATCCCTGATCCAGATAGATGGATGGTCTGTTTTCTTTTTTGCCTCTAATATCCTATGGTTAATTAGGCCTTTGGGGAACAGAATTAAAATGTATACATAAAACAAGCTCCATCAATCTTCTCCCTCAGCAGCTTTAAAGTTATAATTTGGCCCTAAATTATTGCATGTTTTCCGGTTTTGCTTAAAAAAGGTGTCCATGTCTAGCCTGCTACAGACAGAGGCCCAGGGGATAGTTGGCAGCAAGTACTAGACATGTCAGTGAGACGACCTTGGACCAAACATCCCGCCAGGCCTCTAGCTGACCGCCATGGTACAAGTGGGCCCGCTAGGCCGGCAGAGGAATGACCCACTGTGAGCCCGGCCCAAACCCTTGACCCGTACAACCATGAGCTGACAAGTGGGTGTTGTTTTACATTACTCCATTTTGGGGTGGTTCGTTACATAGTAACAAACAGCTGATTCAATCACATACAAAACTCTACAATATTTCCTTCTTTGTTTCAGATACAGTGATTTTTTATAGAGATGACATTAAATGATATATATACTTTCAATAAACAGTATATCTTAAATGACATTTTGGTTCACATTGCTGTTTCTGATTCTAGTTACCTGGTTAATAGCTGTATAATATTTTTGTTTGAAACCATCATAGCTAATTAGACATTCCCATTCACTTAGATATTTGGCTTTTTTCCAATTTTATACTGTCATTAATTGTTTTGATATCAATATATTAGACAAACAGCATTCATTGTCCCCTCCCCCCCTTTTTTCCTGGTTATTACCAGAGAATGAATCTCATGAATCCAAGTGATGCAAAAATCTTTATAAAGGGTCACCCTGCCTATGAGAGAGATGCTGGAAACTTATCAAGGCATATTTGCTTAGGGGAGCTTTGCTGGCAGTGCTGGGCAGAGCCAGTCATGCAATTCAGTCTTGACCCGCAGAAGACTGTGCCACAGTCAGTGTCCTGCCCAAAGCTAGGTACTCAAACCCATACAGCCAACTGATAGATCAGAACCTAACTCAGTTACACCAAAGCTTTCAGGTTCCTCCCATCTGGGCCTATGGATGGCTTAACCTCCCTGCCCCCTAAGGTTAGAGAAGGCCATAGGACTTGCTTTAGACCAGCGACATGCAAGCTGGTATGATGTTCCCAGTTATGACAGGTTCCTAACGTGGGGCCTCTGTCTGCTGGAGGCTGCCATGGTAATCCCATGCATAGATGCAGGCATTGTCCTCTATATTATTATGTTTATTATAAATTCCTTTTGTTTCTTTTAAGTATTGTCTTGAATTCTCGAAATTATATCTCTAGATAAGTTGTATTATCTATAATTTCACTTTGGGGTAGTAAAGGGGGTATTACAAAATATTTTTTATAAAAAAGAGGGCATTACGTCCAGTATCTTTTTTTAAAAGATTTTATTTATTTATTTGACACACAGAGAGAGATCACAAGTAAGCAGAGAGGCAGGCAGAGAGAGAGGGGGAAGCAGGCTCCCCACTGAACAAAGAGCCAGATGTGGGGCTCGATCCCAGGACCCTGAGATCATGACCTGAGCTGAAGGCAGAAGCTTAACCCACAGAGCCATCCAGGCACCCTTAGGTTCAGTATCTATAAGAATCACAGTACTGGGGCACCTAGGTGGCTCAGTCAGTTAAGCACCCGACTCTTGATTTCTGCTCAGGTCATGAAATCAGGGCCCTGGAATCAAGCCCTGCATTGGGGGTGGGGGGCGGTCTGTACTCAGCAGGAGTCTTCTTGTCCCTCTCCCTCTGCTCCTCCCCCCCGCCCCTCTCTCTCAAATTAAAAAAAAACAAAAAAAAAAACCCAACCCAGAATCAGAGTACAGTATCACGGGTCAAAGGATGTGAAGATTTTTATGTCTGTTGCTATATGAAATCTGTGTAAAAATTAAAACATTCCCAGCAATGGGGAGAAATTAACTCACTTTAACTAGAATTAAAATCATATAGCAATCAAGTTTCACTGACACATCACCAAGATTAAGATTGAAACTGTTTGTGTTTGCTAATCTGTTACATTTATGACATCTTTAACTCCATCTCCCTCTTGTTACAAGAGCAACATCATTCCAAGCATTAAAGATTCCTTTCTCAGATTTCCACCCTTCCATATCTTTACGTTTCTCTCTATTTCTTCATAGCATTTATTGATGCCTGATGATACAGAGCAAAGCAACTTGTCTCCTGGTTTCTTGTCTTTCTACTGTCTGGAAGGTAAACGCTAAGAGATTATGGTTTGTTTATCCTTAAAAGCGTCAGACAACAGACGACACAGAGTTGAGAGCAGAGGAGTCTTTCCTGAATGAATGAACGAATAAATAAATAAGTCTCCTTCCTGTTTTCAATATTTTATCCAATCGGTTCAATTCCTTAACAATTCCTTTAGCTTTTGTCATTACTTCCACTTTTCTGATTTAAGCAACTTAAGTTGGGAAAAAAAATTCACTCTAACTAGAATTAAAATTAGAATGATGTAATAATCCAGTCCAGGTGCTAAACTTATCAGAAAGGACAGACAAATCGGGCTCTGGCAGATTAGTCATTTTGGATCTTTGCTCCCTTTTCTTTCCTTTTTGTTCCTTGCTCTTGGCATTGTTCCTCCTTTTCTAGGTCATAAGACAAGAAAATATGAATTTAAAAATGAGTTTATTTCCTGCTGTTGGTACTCCCTTGGTGAAAGATTAAATGACTGAAGCTATCAGCTACCATTAGCTGGGGTTTGGGCATTACAGTTTCTAAACCCAATACTTTATTTGATAAATGACCAGAGAGAGAGGCAAAGAGACCAGTCACCATCTTGACTGGGCATGTGACAAAAAAAGTGCTTGTTTTCACTCATAGATTTGCTCCTAAACACATTATAATACGCTATGGTGTGTGTGTATGTGTACATACACGTATATAAAAATTTTAACTTCCTTTCTTAAAATAATTACAGACCCACAAAAAGTTGAAAACCTAAAATAGTACAGAGAGGTTTTATGTAGTTATGACTCAGATTCCCCCCAGAATGATATCTTACACAGCAATAGTGATTAGCAAAATCAGGAAATTCAATACAATTTTACTTGTAGTAGAGATTTCATTAGGTGAAAACGAACCTAGTAGTAGATCATTTTGTCAAGTGAAAAATATATTATCTTTTTACAATACAAGTGATTACATCCTTCTCTAAGTCTGGTGTTTTGAATACTCACAAGATTTTCTTGTGACAACTTGTGATGTTATTGCTTTCTAGGTGACCGTTTTTGTGGTCGTGTTGTTTCTGTGGTTATTTACTCCATTCTCTGGTTCTAAATATGAATACTATTTTCTTCTATATACTTGATTAATCCCCAGTGCACCTGCACAGGAGCCCCTTTCTTAGGGGAACTCTGGGGGACTGGGTAGTCAGAAGAGCCGTGAGCTTGCCTTTTCAAAAAAGATCCCATCTGTAGGAGGAATCATGCTAATCTACAGCCAACATTTGGAAACTATGAGTCTAAAACTGTGCAGAAAAATGACATCATAAACATGCATTTATAATGAATATCATATGCATCAGGCAACAGTGATTATATAATATCAATAAAAGTTATATATATATATATATATATATATATATATATATTTTTTAGGTCAAATGGCTTTTCAAGGCACCTATGAAGCAACTAGCATTTCTACATATTAAGTATTTCACTGATTTATGCCAGGTACAGTGAAACTTGGATGAAAAAGCCTTAATAAGTGGTATCCACTGCCAAGATAGAAATATTGAGAGCCAATTAGAATAGAAAACACAGTGTCTGCGGAGAAGCCACCAGACATCATCCATTATGTAACAAGGACAAGCCGGGAAATGGGGCTGCACTCAGGCTTGCACCACATGGGGTGATGGGGCCGCTCAAAGTGGCTGCTCTTACGGCACTGGGACCCAAATCATGCCCTAGGCAGGACTGGCTATGTCATTTGGAGCCCAGCACAAAATGAAAATGCAGGGCCCCTGGCTCAAAAATTACGAAGAATTTCAAGATGCTGAGAGTGGCATGTTAAACCCCAGCACAGGTCCTTCTGAGTGTGATGTCCGATATGACTGTCTAGGTTTCACCCCACGAAGCTGGACCCAGCCCTCAGGGTCTCAGTAGCACTGCCGACACAAATGTCACTGCGTGTCCCACATTCCTATTACATCAACATCCAGCATCCTAGGTTCCCGAGGGCAGCTCAGGTGTCACTCGGGGTGTGAGACTGAAGAAAAAGCCAAGTGGATATGATTCCCCGAGCCCTTCACTTTTTTCCTCTTTTAGGTGCTGGACATCTCATCAAGGTGAGATTTCTTGAAAAATTCTCTGGCTAGAAGAAAAGGAAGGAAGGAAGTGAGGGAGGGAGGGAGGGAGGGGAGAGGAGGGGTGAGGAGAAGAGAGGAAGAGCTGTTTAACACAGAAACCCACACGTACAATGCTCTGAGTAATTGTTGGACCTTAAACATGGATTTGAACTTTATACTTTAGCAGGATGGACGGATCCAAAGCAGTGATGTAAGCCCAGCAAAAATTCATGCACTAAGTAGATCTTAGGAGTGGTCAGTTTTTTGGTTTGGGTTTTTTTTTTTTTTTCCCATTGGTTTCTTGGTTAAATCTGGATCAAATTTAAC